CGTACGTAAAATATCTGAGATGTTCAAAATATATCAGTAAAAAATAGAATGTAAATATGTTTACAACATTAAAGAAAAAAAAATTAATATTAGATATGGGAATAAATGATTTATTCTGGGTTGGGTTAGGGTGATTTTTGTTATTTTATTTACATTAATATATTTATTTATTTTTACACAAGTTTACTGTTTAGAAAGGGGGGGGGGGGGTGAATATTTTTTATTGATATTTTTTATATACATGTGGGGAACAAATTAGTTTTTTTTTTTACCTTTTGATTAGTGTTTCTGTCAGTTTATATTTTAGTCTACATTGCATAGTAATGTTTTGATCTGTAAAGAACTTCATGCACATGGAAGCTGCAAAAATGTAGGTCATTTTGCAAATCTGTGTCTGGGTCAAGGTCACTGTGATGAGGTCAATCTTCTGAACAAATGAATCTGACTATAGTGAAGTTTATTCAATATGACAATAACCTGTTGTTTATATATGCTCATCATTTCATTAATTATCACATATCCAATGACATTTACAAAAAATAATGGCTTAAATTTTTAGGGGTACATTGCTATGATACAGAATATAGATAAATATTGTGGATGGAATAAATTTTTGTTGTTGTTATATTATCACAAACACACCTTACACAAAATTGATATTATTTTTTTATTGATCTTTCCTACCATATTTTTCTTTGACAGAATATTGCAAACGGTTTTATGAAAAAATCGCCAAAATTGTCACTCAAAGTAGACAGGTTCTCTCGATTACAAGTATTCATATATTATACCTGATGAATTTGAACTAAAAAGAATGCATATCTGCAATCTGTACTGCTTAGTGTTGCAGCTCAATACATGAAACATTCAACTTTTTGCGACTAACTACAGTAGAGGTAAAAATTACATCAGATTCTGTACCTTTTGTCTATTAAAGGTGCACCAGTGGTCTACTGGTCTGTATGTATAACAAAAGAAAAGTAGCACTTGGATTTGAAACTTTGCAACATGCAACAATAAATAGAATTATGTATCTTAATGTAGTCTACTTCTGTGCCAAGTTATATTGAAATCAAATGAAAACTGTAGGAAGAGTAGCGTTTTGAAAGTATTTCACGGAAATTTCTATTTTTAGTAACTATGACAACACCATTCACCGAAATAAAAAAAAAACAGAAATACATATTATGTATCATAGTGTATTCTAACTGTGTGCCAAATTAGATTGAAATCAGACCAAAATTGTAGGAGGAGTAAAGTTTTATGGAAATTTCACAAAAATTTCTATTTTAAATAACCATGGCAACACTGTTCATCGAATTCAAAAACCGATGCATTAAGTTATGTATCTTAGTATAGTCTTCTTGTATGCCTAATTATATTAAAAGCAGACTAAAGCTGTAACAGGAGTAGCGTTTTAAAGGAATTTCACAGAAATTTTTATTTTTAGTAACCATGGCAACACTGTCCATCGAAATCAAAAACCGATGCACTAAATTATGTATCTTAGTGTAGTCTACTTGTGTGCCAAGTTATATTGAAATCGGACCAAAACTGTAGGAGGAGTAGCGTTTTAAATGAATTTCACAGAAATTTCTATTTTTAGTAAACATGGCAACACCGTCCATCGAAATCAAAAACTGATGCACTACATTATGTATCTTAGTGTAGTCTACTTGTATGCCAAGTTATATTGAAATCGGACCAAAACTGTAGGAGGAGTAGCATTTTAAAGGAATTTAACAGAAATTTCTATTTTTAGTAACCATGGCAACACCGTCCATGGAAATCAAAACCAATGCACTAAATTATGTATCGTAGTGTAGTCTACTTGTGTGCCATGTTATATTGAAATCAGACCAAAACTGTAGGAGGAGTAGCGTTTTAAATGAATTTCACAGAAATTTCTATTTTTAGTAACCATGGCAACACCGTCCAGCGAAATCAAAACCAATGCACTAAATTATGTATCTTAGTGTAGTCTACTTGTGTGCCAAGTTATATTGAAATCGGACCAAAACTGTAGGAAGAGTAGCGTTTTAAAGGAATTTCACAGAAATTTCTATTTTTAGTAACCATGGCAACACCGTCCAGCGAAATCAAAAATCGATGCACTAAATTATGTATCTTAGTGTAGTCTACTTGTGTGCCAAGTTATATTGAAATCGGACCAAAACTGTAGGAGGAGTAGCGTTTTAAAGGAATTTCACAGAAATTTCTATTTTTAGTAACCATGGCAACACCGTCCAGCGAAATCAAAAACCAATGCACTAAATTAAGTATCTTAGTGTAGTCTACTTGTGTGCCAATTTATATTGAAATCAGACCAAAACTGTAGGAGGAGTAGCGTTTGAAATGAATTTCACAGAAATTGCTATTTTTAGTAACCATGGCAACACCGTCCAGCAAAATCAAAAACCGATGCACTAAATTATGTATCTTAGTGTAGTCTACTTGTGTGCCAATTTATACTGAAATCAGACCAAAACTGTAGGAGGAGTAGCGTTTTAAATGAATTTCACAGAAATTTCTATTTTTAGTAACCATGGCAACACCGTCCATCGAAATCAAAAACCGATGCACTAAATTATGTATCTTAGTGTACTCTACTTGTGTGCCAAGTTATATTGAAATCGGACCAAAACTGTAGGAGGAGTAGCGTTTTGAAAAATTGTTTACAGACAGACGGACAGACAGACAGACAGACAGACAGACGACGGACACCTTACTATCGCATAAGCTCTTCTGGTCTCTGACCAGTAGAGCTAAAAATTATGTTTGGACAGAATTGCATGAAACTTTGGGAAATATTGCCTGAAGTGTTGTCCATTATAACTAAACTGAATTTAGTCATATTCAAGGTCATGACCATTACACCACTAATACCTTAACTTAAAACTTTACAAATAGAAATTATGTAACTGAGCTGTTGATATTTGTGCAGCAATACCAGCAAACTTTGGAATATTTTGCTTCTAAACATACTTTGTTTCAGTTAGATAAAATAGAGCATGCCCTTGCGCCGAAGCATTTTTGTTGATGTCTATTATAATCTTGTGTAGTAAAGAACAATGACGTCATTATATGACGTCATAATGTGTTCCAGTTATCTCCTGTCGTGGGTACCAAGTATGTATTAGACTATAAGTTTTAACTTTCTCTGAATAATAGGTACAGTCCTTAGGCATTTTAATTAGATAATTTGCATAGAAATGCTTATACCTAACCTTAACTCACCTGTGAATATCATAGGTGAATGTGAAAGGGGAATAACTTCTTTAAGTAAACTAACAAAAAAATATTGTCCTGCCCTAGCACCAGAGGTCCCAGACCAAGGAGTCGAGAAATTTACAATTGTAGAAAAGACGCCCTTGTTAGTTATAACCCTGTACTAAGTGTCCTTAATACCCATGGGCAGAGAAGAAGAAGAATTATAGGGAAATTATGGATTTTCACAATATATTTAACAGAGCCCAACCCTACACAAAAGCCCCTGTCCAGGAGCTATGAATTTAAAAATCTTGAAAGAAGCATCCTTGCTCATCATAACTATGCAATTAGGTTGTCTGCTAAATACACAGGCAGAAAGAGATATTTAGTGAATTTATGCAATTTTAAAGGGGCCTGGACACAGATTTGAAGTTAATATTTTCTCAAATTTTCTGTATAATATCATGACTTATATGTTGCTATAGTATTTTGCATGGAAATATAATTAAAAAACTTATTTTGTCAGGAAATTAATGAAACTACAAATTTCAG